AGAGAGAGAGAGAGAGAGAGAGAGAGAGAGAGAGAGTGGCCTATTGGGTAAAGTCTGTACATTTTGCTTATGGGTTCTGCTATGGTATTTACAGGAAAAAAATGTGCAGAAATTGAGGAATAGTGAGTAAACCATGACTTACTGTTTGACATGGTACCAACATTCAAAAAGCAGGCAGCACCATCTTTAAGATAATTCGACAGTTGACCAAATGGAATTCCCCATAGGTTGGACAAGAACGGGAGGAGGAGGCATATGAAAATCGCCTGCTCATGCATCAATTAGTTTCAGGCTTCAGAAAATAAATGGGAAAACTGAACTCAACTAATATTGATACCATAAAAGCATAAATGTTAACCTGATAAGCAGATCCAAAGGAGTTTACAACAAATAGATCCACTGTTCCTCCCTGACAAAAATAAATGAAAAATGAAGAACAGAAAAAGTGTCACATGATTTATTATGCATCACTAAATCAACAACTTCAGAAACCAAAATTGCACGATCGTTATGTTAAATTCATTTGAAGAGAGATCTGCTTTTACTTTTTCGGGGAAAGCAAAAACACACCAGCCCGCTATACATACAGAAAAATATAGGCAGATATGCAAAAGTAAATTATATTTTATCAATGTTTTTAAATTATATTTTATCATGTCACTAGGCTTATGGTTTTCTTGAGATCATGTAGAAGGTTTACAAACATAATCAATTTCATGCCAATAAGTTGTTACACCAACAGAGTAGGCAGCATTTTGGTATAAAACTCAAGTGTTCATCATATCAGTTCTGTCTCGACCTGACCTGCCATCTATAAATCTAAGGTGGAGAAATTTTCACATACCTACCTTTAATCTTTGAGAAGCATCCGTAAATATAATTTCCTGCAAAACAAGAAGGGAGTCATTTAGGTAACAATACGTAGACAAATGAGATGAGAAAATACTAATTCTCAAGGGACACCTTTGCACCTTCAAGATTGTATCAGCAGCTTGTAACAAAAAAGAAATAATCATCAAAACACTCCAAAATATGCCAGCTTCCATCAGAGAACCAGGACCTGATCCACTGTGAAAGAAATTAATAATTTTTAGAATTGACCTTGCTTATAGCATTCGACATCGGTCTCGACTATTGACAAAGCAATGTGAGCAAGGATCCGAAAGTGGGGAAGGAAGGCTATTATATGGTAGGAATTTCCAATATATCATGGTACATGATAACGGGATTATAAAGAAAAAGTAAAATGAAAATTAAAATTCTGACCAACTCTTCCCCATAATTCTTGTAACATCTAATGCTTTAGGCACGCACAGATATTGTTTGTCAACAGGCAATTCTAGTTTCTTAAGATAAACAAAATACAAACTAATGATGGATGATCTGGAAAGAAACGATTCTATGCCTTTGCATGCCATACAGTAGACTGGCAACATAATATCGTTATTATTCCATACAATGACAGAGGTATCCGTCATTCCTAAGCTGAAAATGATGTAATCTTTCCAATACCCCTGGAACAAAATATGCAGGGGGTTTATGGGTGTAGTGATGTATTGCTAAGAGAGGACCTGGACACTCACTACACATGAATCCTCAAGTTATTTGAATAAGATATGTTATGGTGCGTTTTTGGACTTCTCAAACAATACTGAGTATTAAAAACTATGCTGCAGGAAATTCGGATGCCACTTGTCCAAGTATTTTGAGTTCTGCTACCTTACGTGTGTGTACTCATGGGGAAAGAAGGAAAGTACCTTGCTACAGTTACTATAACACCAACTGCTACCAGGAAGCAACCGAACAACTGGTGGAACCGATATCTCCTCCCAAGGAATATATATGAAAGTACAAGTTGCCAGACCAAAAAGCTCTGCAAAAATTAGCAGTTGAATGAATTAACTCCATAGCTTGATTTTGTTTCATAAATAGAAAACATACTCATGAACGTTGAAGCCCTGGTATTGATCCTATCACCGAAATAAATGACGAAGAAGAAAGAGAAACAAAGTAGCTGTCTACCACCTACTATAACTTAAGATTGTATTCAGATTTAGGCCTCCATAAAACCAAGTAAGATAACTACGATGACATATCTGGATTGGATTTCCAGGACTTCACCAAAAGCACAAGGCAATCCAGCTCTCAAATCATTATGTTGAAATAAAAATCTCAGATTTCTCCATCTTTCTGCTCAGTTGTACTATATTCCAATAGTAATCATAAGTGCCATCATCCACTTCCGAACCATTTAGCACTAAATCAAAAGAAATACTTATTTTCTGTATAAAACTCTGTTTGATACCAAAAATTGAAGTTTGTCGTTACCTGAGACAGTATAGGAATTGCTGCCCCAGAAAGGATAGCTGTTTCAATATAGAAAATTATTAGCCTGATACAAGTCGGAACTAAAATCTCTACTTAGCTGTTAGAATATGAAACTGCAAAATTTTCACAATTCATTTAATACTTATATCAGCAATTGTATGCACGAAAATAGTTTTGAAAAAATCTAAGCCACAATTTTCATAGTTCACACTGCAATAGACTCCAAGCCACTTTACAAGCAAACAAAAATATACATGTATAGAATGCCACACAGAAATTGATGGAAAGGGAGTACTTCCCCAGAAAGTAAGGTCAGTTCCAAGGACATCTTGTCACACCACACAATCCACGGGACAAAGAACAGACAGAAGAACTCCATAGATGATTTAAATAATAATAATCAAAGAAAGTACCTCCTGATGCCATCCCAGATGCAGCAGCTAGTGCCTCAAGGAGGCCAACAGCAATTAATGGTGATTTTGGCAAGGATAGCATTTCATCCGTAACCTTCCCAGCTTGATACCGAAGATACAAAATAGCAAAATATACAATTACATACCTGTAAATGATGTGTAACGGGTCTAAGTGATTAATATTATGAGGTGCATAACCACAAATGTTTGAGGAAAACTAAGAAAATAAGATAGAAACAATAAGAAGACAGGAACAGTCATCTACCATTGTTTACCCAATCTCACAGGAATCATATAAATCCAAAAGGAATGAGGAAATTTCATATGGACAAAATCACCCTTGTTGAGAAGTCATAATATATGATCATTTTCTACTCTGATCTTGGAGTTTATAGTTAATAAACTATAACAGTTAAAAGGCAACACGGCACTTGTCAACTGGGGTTCATTCTGATCCAAAAAATGCTAGCGTTTGACTTGCAGCTAACTTGACTACACTATCAGCTCCAGTTTTCAACATTTGTCGAAAAGTTAAAATAGTATTATTCTCGATTAGACAGCATACAAGGAAAATCTGACACTTAAATGAGCATAATTACACTTTAGGATGAGAATCTTTATAAGGTGGTTAGACGGAAAGCTCGTCTGACTTCATTACCACATTAAAAGCTGCTCAAGTGGAACCAAATAAGTCCAACATAATTAATTAACACACAGAATAATATTGACTGATCAGAGAATCACTTGTAACAGGTCTAAACTATTCTAATGGTTAACGGTTAGATCGTCATATCCAAGTAAACTTAGGGATATAACTTCATGGAAAATGGGAAAGGAGCCTGCAATAGTTTTTCTCACCACATGCCATTGAACCAAAAGGGAATCTCTGTTGCTGGTTGAGTGGGGACCCAGTACACCACATCCAACTCACCACCAACGGCCCTCATTCAAACGGGACCCATATTAACTACAACCTTACTTGAGATTTAGGAAAACCCTCAAATCTTTTTCACATAAAAGTGCACAAAGAAATCCTATCAAGAGAGGGAAAGTACTCGGAAACTAGCATCGGTGACCCGCCTCAAAATAAAATTTGGTCATCAATTCTTGAATTGGCATCATGAAAAAAAAAAGGGGGGCAAGAAAGAAAGAAAGGTTACTTTATAAGTAAAGACCACATTAAAACATAGGTTCGTAGATTTAATCATTGTGGCCATGTCAATAATTCAAGAAAAGTAAGTGATGAAGAAAAAGGAAAAGAGGAACCCAACTTGAACCATCGATAGATTGACAGAAAAGATATGGCTGAAAAAGAAAGCCAACTTGAACTTTGGCACATCCACCAATGAAGGCGTTGCCATGGACGCATCAAGCTCTGTAACGACGCCGTTGGCTGCACTACTCACCCGAAAGAAGAGAAAAAACAACCACAACCTTCTAGGTGGTATAATCATTCAAAGCACACACTCTCTCGCCCTCTCATCCTCCCAATAATTTCCATTTTCAATGATTCCAAAAACTGTACGTTTATGGGCCAAGGCTTTCTGTAAAAGACAATTATTAAGCCCACGCAAGCCGTCTCAAATATTCAGACCTTCACTGTCGTCGACCACGGTTTTCCGGCGTCGCCTCTCACTTGCGCCCCAAACAATATCAAAACCTTTTTCCCAGATCTAGATAACAAAAA